GATTTCCTCCATTTGTGTTTTTTTTTTAATTCTTCCAATTCTATCTTCAGATCTTGAACCACTTTTTTTATTTCCTTCACCTGTCTGACTGTATTTTTCTGTTTTTCCTTCAATTCCTTCAGCTGTTTGTTTGAACATGCCTTTGTTTCTTTTATTTCTTTCAGTGATTTAACCATTTCCTCTCTGAACACCACAAACTGTTTGGCTGCATCGCCCTGTATTTCTTTACGGATGACCATAATCTGTTTTATTATATCTTCCCCTAATTCTTTACGCATTTTATTTACTTCCTCCATTAACCTCTTCATAAGCATAGATGTAAGGTCATCTTCTTGAATTTCACTTATGTTAGGTTGTCCAAGGCTACTTGCCCCTGGATAACTGGGTTCTGGGGATGCCATATTGCTTTGCCTTTTGTTGGTTGTGCTTTTTTGCTGGCCTCTACCCATCTCTCTGTCTCAGGTGTTGTCTGTTAATTTCTGGTGCATGCTGGGTCCTGGGGCAGGGAGAATCCACTTGGCGGGGTTCTGAAGTTCTCCTCTGCTTTTTGGGTATGGTCAACTGAATGGTGGTGCTTCTCAGGAATTGTCACAGTTCACTTCAGGAGTATGGACCTGTATGGTAACTGTGGTGTTCAGGAAGGCTCTCTTCTCATCAGGAGAGGTCCTGGTGATGGCTGCTCTGCTGCTGGTTTTCTTGCTCTGAATTTAGTGAGCAGCAGCTGTTGCTCTTAAGGTGTAATTTTTGGGTGCAGCCCTCTTGAAGAACCAGGGATTCCCACAGTTTTGTCATTTTAGCTAGGGATAACTGGTTGATCCTTGGCGCAGTATCTGAGGGCTGCTGTAATGGCTCTCTGGTTTTTGTAGGTCTGAGGATGCAGCTGTGTGCCCCAGTGTCGGTACTCAATAATGGTGGCTGAGCACAGCGCTCCTGCCTGCAGTAGAAGGCTAGAGCCTAGAGTCTGCGTGAATCCAGAAAGTCTTTTAGAGCTGGGTGTCCTGAGCGTTGGACCTGATGATCCCCCCCTCCCCGCTGTGGGGTTTCCTCCTGACAGGGACACCCAGTCTTTGCTTTGGGGACAGCCTTTCTGTCTGTGATGGTGAGTAAAACCTGCAGGCACAGACTTATGTGGCTCCACCTTTCTGCCTTTCTGGGGATTGGGTGCCTGGGCATCGCCGAAACTGGCTAACTTTTCTCGAGACCTTTTCAGGGTGGTGGTATTGGCTGAGTGCTCTGAGATCAGACCAGCCGTTTCCCTCCCTGTGGGTTTGCACCCAACAGAGAAGCTCAGTCTCTGGTCCCCTGGGGCCCACAGTTCTATCTGGGGCAACGAATCAGGCATGCAGGCAGGACTCTGTGCCGGCACCTGGGTCCCCAGCTCTGGCTCTGGGCTGGCTCCTAGGTGCCCGTGGAACCTGAGTCTTTTCCAGGGGATGTCTGGGTGACCTAAGATCAGTCCCAATCGTTTCCTGCACCGTGGGGTTATCTCTCAACTGGAAATCTTAGTCTCTGATGTTGTGGTGCCCACAGTTCAGTGTGGGACAGTAATCAGAGCACGCTGGCGTGTGGCTCTGGGCTGGCGACCAAGCGCCTGGCGGAACCGGGATCTCTTCCTCAGTTTAGCTGGGTGAGTTAAAGCTGACTGAATCCCCCACTGTGGGGTATCCTCTCACCTGGGAAACACAATCACTTGTGTTTTATGGCCGCGAGTTCTGACTGCTGGTCAATGTGCCGATCCTGCTGTGCTGCTGGTCAGAATGAGAGCCATCTTGCTGAACCCCTGTTAATTTTTTTTAAAAAACTCAAAATAATGTCTCTTGCAGATGATATACAATTTTACTTTCATATCATAAATCCTTAGAATTAAACTGTCAGAGAAAATTAATACTTAATTGTTTTTAACATTTATTTATTATGTATGTATATGCCTCAGTGGATGTTTCTATCATGTGCATGCAGTGCCTGTGGTAACCAAAAGAGGGCGTTTGATGTCCTGGAACTGGTGTTATATGTAATTGTGAACCACTATGTGGTACTAGGAACTGAACCTTCAACTTCTAAAAGAGAAACCAGTGTTCTTTTTTAAAAAAATATTTTTACTATTTTTATTTATTTTACATACCAAGGGTCCCCCCTTCCTCCTCTCTTCCCAGTCCTCCTTCCTCTTTCCCTTCCCCCCAGAAAAGGAGAGCCCCTCTTCCCCTGTATTAATCTTCCCCAGCACACCAAAGCACATCAGGACTGAGCATATCCTCATCCCCGAGGCCAGGCAAGGCAGCCCTGCCAGGTGGAAGTTATCAAAAGCAGGCAATAGAGCCCATGTTAGAAACAGCCATCCCCACTCCACTCTCCAGGCAACCCATATGAAGACCGAGCAGCGCATCTGCTACATGTGTACAGGGGGCCTGGATTCAGACCATGAATGCTCCTTAGTTGATGTCTCAGTCTCTGAAAGCCCCCATGGGACTGGGCAACTTGTCTCTTTTGGTCTTCTTGTGAGGTTCCTGTTCCCTCCAGGTTCTTCCATCTTTCCCCCAACACTTCCACAGGACCCCTGGAGCAACTAAACTATCTTTCTAGTCCTAAAAAAAATATTTTAGATAAAAACTTTAAGATATACCAGTAGCCAGAATGTTTTAAACGACACTTAGTGATCAACGTAACTGTCTTTTTTATCAAGGTCTTGCAAATTTAGTCTTTAGTATCTGAGCAAATAACTTTTAGTTTCTTTATAGTTCTCCACCTGTCTACTAGATTGACACTCATTTGTTGAACTTGTAATATTTCCTCATCCTCCATATTTTCTTTTAGCATTCCTAAAATTATATATATATATATGCTCTTCTGACAACCATGCTTGTATTTTCCCCAAGTCTTTCTTTTTCATCAGTGTCTTGCTAATTCTGTGAAATGCATAATCTCTGGTTTTTAGTGGTTCTTCTGTTTCCTTTTCTTTTCTTTCTTCTTTTTTTTTTTTCTTTTTTGGTTCTTGTGTCTTTTTCCTTTAACCAAATTAACTTGAGCTTCTGTTTTAATATCATTACCATTGGGCTTATTTGGGGACACTGCTTTTTCACTTTTGCTTTTGCCTTTATTAGTAATGTTGATGGTTTTTATTTAGCACATGATTTACACAGCTCTTAATTTTCCCTCATCATGAGGTCATAGTTGAAATGATGAAAAAAGGAGTGGAATGTATTTTTCTAAGAGATTATTCTAAGTAGTTTTCTTCATAAAGGTATATGAGAATTTGGACTACCAAATATTCTTGCAAATATTTCATCTTCTTTATAACTACCATTTCCCATACAAACAATTGTAGCCTAAATTTTAATCAAATCCTGTATTTTTTTCTTCATCTTTGTCATGCTTCTTTTCAATTAAAGCCCAAATCATCAGGGCTGATCTCAAAGGTGTCATGTGCTCATCCTTTCTATATATGTACAGTTACCAGTTGTCAAGTTGTAAGACTGGATAGTCCATGAAAAATAGCTTTAACACTGTAGGTCACAGGAGGGGGGAGTCATCAGTAGCAGAAGGGTGGGGCAAAGAGAGAGAGAATAAGAATTTGAGCATCTAGTCTGCAGCGACAGCCTCAACCTCCACCATCAGATCAATACCCTCCTCATCTTTCTCAGTTGGCACCACAGCAGTTTTGGGCATTCACACTCTAGAGTTGTGTCTGTCTTTCTCCTTCCAGATTTGAGATCTGCATCTTTCTCTAGGTATCATTGTATCATACTTCCTGAGTGCAATCCAGCAGCTGAGGAGACAGCCTCCTTCCTAATAAGAAATGTGCTTATTTTTCTTTTGTTTTTTTTTACATGAGTCATATGTTTTCATTAAATATAAATGCATTCATTAAAAACAAGCCATCAGCAAAATAATTTTTATCACATATAACACTATTGGTAGTTATCATATACTGTATATTTTTAGTAGTATTTTATAAATACAACATTCAGGAAAAATTAAAATTCCAAGCTCCAAATATAAGGTGAAACAATGGGTAAAGAATCAACAACTATTGTTAGTCACTACAGAAGAACACAATCAACAGTCTACACAGATGGAGTTTAAAATAATGACACTCAAACTGTGGTCATTTTAAGCTTTGAAGTACCTTAAATTTACTTCAGAGAAAGACTTAAATAGTTCAAGCAACTATTTATTGAAATCCAAGTACAATTTAAGGTACTCCAAACTCCAATATTGTTTAGGGGCAGAGTTGAATATATATATATATATTTTTTTCTATCTATCTATCTATCTATCTATCTATCTATCTATCTATCTATCATTTATCTGTTTATAAATCTGTGTAAAATTTGGGTACCATTCTGTATTGAATTGATTCTAAACTACATAGAACATAAAGGGGAGAACACATGTTCTGTTAATTTTTTTCAGTAGTTTCTATAATGAAGAAACTGGTAGATTTTAGAAAATGCTATGTTAAATACAAACAAATTATAAAACAGACTCCAAACTGTTCTAAACACATTATCTCATTTATCAAGACATTGCATTCCTAAAACAAGCTTGAGAGACATCCAGTATATTTTGTTTTAATTAAACTTTATAAAAAGGCTTTTCCTGAAGAAAAGGCTATTTGGAAAAAGCTTCAGTTTATTTAAATAGTGCTTAAACTTTAGAGAAAATTCATTTAGTTTTCAAAGAAAAAAAAAACACAGAATTCCTCAAATGCATTTTTTTTTTACTGAACTAATAATGTCAACACTATAATATTGAGATTATTTCCATTTCCTTTAAAAAAATTTCAAATACTTTGGCTTCCTTCAAATTCCATATTATGAATTAGAAATTTTTACATTGACTTAGAAAAATCTCAAATAAGAAAACTTTTGAATTTAATTTGAAATAATGGAAGTATTGGCTGTGCTGTGGGCATTTTAAATGTATACATGTCTTTCCGACTGCATTGAATTCATTATTGGCTTTGCACTGAAGTTATTCAGATATTGTCTTCTTCATTGCAGGTAGAACGGGAAAAAGCCATTCTTCTGGCCAACCTCCAGGAGTCACAAACTCAGCTAGAACATACCAAGGGGGCACTGACAGAGCAACATGAGCAGGTGCACCGGCTCACAGAGCATGTCAATGCCATGAGGGGCCTTCAGAACAATAAGGAGCTAAAGGCTGAGCTAGATGGTGAGAAGGGCCAGAACTCAGCAGAGGAGGCTCATGACTATGAGGTGGACATCAATGGCTTAGAGATTCTTGAGTGCAAATATAGAGTGGCTGTCACTGAGGTCATTGATTTGAAAGCAGAAATTAAGGCCTTAAAAGAGAAATATAATAAATCTGTTGAAAATTATACAGAAGAAAAGACCAAATATGAGAGTAAGATCCAAATGTATGATGAGCAAGTGACAAGCCTTGAGAAGACATCTAAGGAGAGTGGCGAGAAGATGGCCCACATGGAGAAGGAGTTGCGAAAGATGACTGGCATAGCCAACGAAAATCACAATACCCTCAATACAGCCCAGGATGAGTTAGTTACATTTAGTGAGGAACTAGCCCAGCTTTACCACCATGTGTGTCTATGTAATAATGAAACCCCCAACAGGGTCATGTTGGACTACTATAGGCAAAGCAGAGTTACCAGAAGTGGCAGCCTCAAGGGGCCTGATGATCCCAGAGGGCTTTTGTCTCCAAGATTATCCAGGAGGGGTGTGTCATCTCCAGTAGAATCAAAGACATCATGTGAACCAGTTTTAAAAGAAAACACAGACACTAGCAAAGAGCCAAGTCCAACTAAGACTCCCACAATCTCTCCTGTTATTACTGCCCCACCATCATCTCCAGTTTTGGATACAAGTGATATCCGCAAAGAGCCAATGAATATCTACAACCTCAACGCCATAATCCGGGACCAAATCAAGCATCTGCAGAAAGCAGTGGACAGGTCCTTACAGCTATCTCGTCAAAGAGCAGCAGCCCGAGAGTTGGCCCCCATGATCGATAAGGACAAGGAAGCCTTAATGGAAGAGATTCTCAAGCTGAAGTCCTTGTTGAGCACTAAACGGGAGCAGATTGCCACACTGAGGGCAGTGCTGAAAGCCAATAAACAGGTAATATGCTTTTGCTGATGAAGCATACTAGTAAAAGCCTTCTTCACCAATTTATTTCCTTAATTTTGTTGAATTTTTAGTGCCGAGATAAACATTCAAATTTTTGACCAATAGAGCATCAAAGCAAAGTACATTCCAATGCCAATCAAAATATAGTTTTATTTTAAAGTGTGTAAGGGACCAGTGAGATAGCTTAGTGATAAAGGCACTTGCTGCCAAGCCTAACGACCTGTGTTCAATCCTCAGAATCCATATGGTGGAAGAAAAGAACCGTCTCCCACAAGTTGTTTCTGTCATAAATGGCTATGATGATACTCATATTCTCTCTCTTGCATAGAAAATAATAAATAAATAAAATACTATAACAATTTGAAGTGATTAGGATAGAACAACAGTTCTATCCTAACAGTTGTGCCCAGCTAGGTAGCAGGTGGTGAGGAAGGTAAAGCAGTAATTTACCAGCTACAGGTAAATCCCAGAGACCCAGGTAGTGATAATTAGAACCCTGGAAACAGCTCATGGGGGTTGTGGGAGAGGCTAACCTAGGGAGATAAGGGAGAGGGAGACTAACCCTGAGCCTGCAAATGGGAAATCAGTACAGACAGTACAGATAGGAGTCTGACGGGCAATAGCTAGATCCAACTTTAGAAATGGAGATTCAACTCCAAGACCCATCTGCTAGGACTGTGGCAAGATGGAAACTTGGTGTTTTGTCTTTCATTTTAGATTCAAACAAATAAGACTTAGTAACCAAATAATAAAGTAATGGCATCAAGGACGAAGGACAATATAGCTGTGGGGATCTGAGTGATGTAAACAGAAGGAGAGTTTTACCAACAAATGAAGAAGTTTAGAACTATGAGGGAGAGAGGGAGAGAAGAACAGGGAGAGAGGGAGGGAGGAAGAAAAGGAAGGAGGGCGAGAGAGAGAAACACCTCCAGATCCTAAAGTCCAGCTGTGTCATTGACCATATATCTGAACTTTTGTGTATAGTTAACTGTTAGTTTACTTGGGTCAGAACTAAAACATTAGAGTTTTCCTTAAATACAGGTCATGTCCCTCTGTAATAAGGATATTTCAATATGTACCTACCTGACATTCTTTGATGACTGATTTGTTTTCTATTCTTGAGTTTTACCTGAGTGCAGGTGTCCTTGCATATACACTGGAAAATAATACAGTTTATCTGAAAAATATACCTATTTGAGAGGAGTGTTGAACAAATATTGGTGTCGATGCAGCAACATATCTTTTCTTTTCTTTTTTTTTTTAAGATTTATTTATTATGTTTATAGTGTCCTGCCTGCATGTGTGCCTACACACCAGAAGAGGGCATCAGATCCTGTTATAGATGGTTGTGGGCCACCATGTGGTTGCTGGGTATTGAACTTGGGACCTCTGGAAGAGCAGCCAGTGCTCTTAACCGCTGAGCCATCTCTCCAGCCAACGTATCTTTTCTTGCAAACACAGGAAATGCCAGTGAATAGTAGAGTGTGGGGGTACAAGCTCTTTAGAGAATGAAGATTCACTTCTTTTTCAGTGTTTTATTTTACTCAGATCTGACTAAAACCACACCAATATGTAATCTAATTTCTATTCTTCATCATTTGTCTCCACGAATCCATTTATACAAATTAGATGTCTGTATCACAAGCAAGAATACTGTTTACAATATCATGATGTTTTATATAAACTTAAGGGAAAATAGGACTTTCTTTTGTATCATCACCTTAAGGAAATAGAAATTGTTGGGGAGTGAAGAAATTATGAGAAATTTGACTTCTCTTTAAAATCAGTAAAAAGATTATTGATGTAACTGCTATAATTCAAATACTGTACAATGTGGAGTGGTCATGAATAACTTATATGTTAGGTCTGACTCATGTAACTTCTTTCAAAGACATAATTTTCTAGTATATTCTCAGCCAAGACAATCAGATAAATTTCCTGACTTCTTTCTGAGGGTTAAATATTAGCAACACAGAAATCTAGATTTTTTTAAAATGTGAAGATGCTTAATTGAAAAGGCAAGGCCTAACTTATGAATAAGCATTCATGTGGGACACAAAATGTTACTAGTAATCTACTGTGGATTTAATATATGTCTTTAAGTACTTATATGACAGAATATTTAAGGCATTTTAGGTTGTTATAAACAGTGCTATAGGATTTCAGAAGAGTTCAGAGCATGGCTAGTAGAATGTATATTTCCACAGTGCACTAATTAGAGCCATGACTTGTAATGGGTTATTAAGTTATGTGGAAATATTTCTTGCTGTATATTTGGTTACTCATTTAAATAATGTTGAACAACTGCTGTTGATTGTTATGGTACTTATGTGCCATTAATATTTCCAGGTATCAAAAAGATGACATCAGTTAGATACGGGCATTGTGGAAAGTTAATTATTAAGGCAATGTGAAAATTCTATAGTTTGGGAAAAAGGGGGATTATTTTGTTTTGAAAAAGGCATGATGTATTCTCTATGAATCTTGTCTTATAATTTAGGATCTTTTTCCCAGAAGCATAATGTCTTTTTATGGAATACGGTAGTTGTTTTAAAGTACCAGCTATGTACTTGGTTGTGTCAGATGTGAAGATTCAACAATAAATTCTTGGTCCCTGCCTTTCAGAAGGTGACTCACAATTAGTGATGTTACATATTTTGTATTCAACTTGCAGAAATATTGTGTGGAACAACTAATGTCTCCTACAGGAATCAACAAAGGTTTTCCAGAGCAATTATAATTAAACTTGCTCTTAAAGGATAAAAAACAATTCTATGGGAAGAAGAAATATTTCAGACAAAAGAACAGGCGGTAGAAAGAGGCAAGAGTGTTAGACACAGGGTGTTATGTGCCTATCTTGCATTGTGCCTCCAACAGGCAGTTTCTAAACATTTGCTGATGGCACCCATTGACTCAGCTGATGTGGTTTTTAATCTCCTACTGTGCTAGGCTAGCTCTTGATTTGAAACAGTACTCATTCAAGGAACTTCAGAAATGCTCCAATCCCAAATTCAGACAACTGTCTTTATCCATTCAACATTTTGCACACTCTCTTTTTCTCTTTGTGATACACTCATACACACAAAGAAATAATTTGACCATAATTCATTGCTTTGAGCAAGTTTTATTTAAAAGTTTAAGAAATGCTTGATTCCTTGTCACTTCTTTGACTTGAACATGTAGTTCATTATATACTCCTGTCATAAGTTACACTGGTTTACATCTTTTGTGTAAGATTTAAGAACTTACATAAAAGAACCCACAGAACACAGGAGACATAAAGTATTTGATTTCTCACATATTTTATTTGGAATTAGTGCTTCTTTAATAACTTCTTCATAACATCCTTCATGTTTAAGATTTTATCTTGGCTCTCTAAATCTCTGAAAATACACCTTCAATAACTAGCATGAAGCATTTACTAAACTACTGTCATCGTCCTGGCTTCTGATACTTACTGTCTCATATCAGGCTTTAAAGACGATTTAACATTATTGAATTATGAAATGATTTAACATTAAAGAAAATGTCCCAGTGCCCAGTGTATACATATCATTATGCAAAACCTCAATTAACCAATTTTTGTTTTCATTCATTTTGGCGTAAAGAAATGTGTGGAACAGGTTTTTCTGGTGTGAGGTGGTAAGTGTTGTGGTTTTGTGCTTCAGACAGCTGAGGTGGCTTTAGCTAATCTGAAGAACAAATATGAAAACGAGAAGGCTATGGTGACTGAAACAATGACAAAACTGAGGAACGAGCTGAAGGCTTTGAAAGAAGACGCTGCAACTTTCTCATCCCTGAGAGCAATGTTTGCAACAAGGTAACTTTTCTCCCTAAAATTGACTATTTCACAGGGGAAGAGCGCTGCTGAAACTCATGAATGAATGTATTTGGTTTGCATGAAGAAAATGATGAGCTACCTCACTGACAAATCTAGGATTAGAAATTTGTTTTTAGAATCATGGTCACATGTGACTGAATTTCACGGACAGGGCAAAGGGAAACAGACTGTGGGGCTGCAGAGGCTCTGGCAGGAATTGACTTCTGGATTTCCCACAAAATTCAGTGGCATTTAGAATATATGAGGGCAGGACAAAGACTGGGGAGGGAGACAAGGTCCCCTTTTTTGATGAAAGAAATCAGGATAATTTCAGAATTAAGAGAACACATTTTCTCTTTGAGAAGGAAATTTAAAGCGTTTAAACCATTTAAATGCTCAGTTTGGCTTATGTTTTAGTTATTACTCTCTTGCAGTACATTTTCACAGATATTTATTTCTTTCAAGTATAGTAATTACCTAACTTTATATTTTAAAAATATTTTTATGTTACCAAAAAGAATTAATTCAAGGTCCTGGAATTCGTTTTGTTTTTCAGTGAGCTCTGATTTTTCTCATGATCTCCATAGCCCCAGTCTTGACATTCAGGGTTAAGGGAAATGGACATAATGTATTTCAATTACAGTATTTCAATTACAGTTCCTGTTTTTCTCCTGCATAATACCTCTAACTTGTGCTGATTTCAGTTTGTACAATATATTTTGGATAATTCTCTGAGCTAATCAGCTATCTGCTAGTACAAGAAGAATGACTTACTACTATCTTAAACTCAGCAGAAATTCAGTGTGAGTTTTTTCCCCTCACCCTTCATGCAAATGTATGTGGATGGACTCGGGTTTCAATTTTAGTGGGGAAATAGCACAGAGCTTGTCTTTATGCTTTAGCAGAAATATGAAGCTGGACAAAGATGTTCCCAATGACCTGCTGTACCTGAACCAGACTTTTAAAAATCTTGATTTTTTTTTTTAACAACTCACTGCTTTATTATTTGGTTGAAAACTCATTGAAATTTTGGTTTTTTACTTGGGGGAAATTGGCCATATTGAAAACATTTCTGCCATTTAAAACTAAGTCTATAAATACAGATAAAGGAGGAACTGTTGTTTATTATTATTATTATTTTGATATAGCATATATACTGTAGGTATAACATGTAACAAAATTTTTGCAAAGGATACAATGTCATATAATAAAGATAGTAATTATAATATACCTAAAGTAGTGGCAGATATTATGTGAAATTGTATTATCACCACAAAACAGCCTCCATAATAACTGTCCTTGAGTTTATGCTGCTTATGAAGTTCATTGTGAAACTGAACCACCAATTACTGAACATGGTCTATTGTTTCCAGTTGTCTATTATTATTGAGTATTTCCATTCTACTGCTGGGAAGATCAGTGCTCTAAATTCCAGTCTAACTTATTATAATAGTTCCCTTTATTTATGGGGACTATATCTCAAGACCCCCCTCCCGAGTGGATGCCTGAAACCACTAGTGACAAACCCTGTAGATGACTATGCTAACCTTTTATGTAGATGTCCCTGATGACACTCAAATAACATTATAATATAATATTGGCACATAATCATTCTAACATTACTGTATACTAAAATTTTGAGACTACAATGGACGTCAATGCCAGGGCTGCGCGTAAGAGAGGAATACCTTTCTAGTTAAGTTCCAGCTTAGCTCTACCCAGATTTCTTCCTCACCTCTTTCTGCTTGGGTTCCAGATGTGATGAATATGTCACACAGTTGGATGAGATGCAGAGACAGTTAGCAGCTGCAGAGGATGAGAAGAAGACTCTAAACACATTATTGCGAATGGCTATCCAGCAAAAGCTCGCCCTGACACAGAGGCTGGAGGACTTAGAGTTTGACCATGAACAGTCCCGACGCAGCAAAGGCAAACTTGGAAAGAGCAAGATCGGCAGCCCTAAAGTAAGTGGGGAGGCGCCAGCCACCGTGCCTACCGTAGACACTTACCTCCTGCATAGTCAGGGCCCACAGATACCCACCATTCGGGTCAGCAGTGGCACTCAGAGGAAAAGGTATGCATGCAGCTATTGTCATAGTGTGATACAGTGGACAGGTTTTAGTTGACTGCAAAAATTTATGTGCTTACGTTGTGTAGTACGGAGAAAGAGAAGGAAAAGAAAAAATGAAAGCTGCTAATGGCCCTTGCTAATGCTGGTCTTTCTGCCACCCCATCCACACATACTGATTAACCATAACATTATTTTCAAGTGTCCGTTAATGTTTTTGCTGCTGTTTGTGTGTGTAAATATATATCTCCCTAGCCTCCAACCTAAAAATGGGTAGATAAAGATGGATATTAAAAATGAAGCTCATTTGTCATTTTTTTTCTGTCATGGGGCAAAGATATGAGTTTGTTCTCTTAGGGGAACGCTTGTCCATAAGACTAAAACTGATGACTATTTGAAAGGTTGTGGTTATATTTCATAAAATGGAATAGAATACATGTAGTTCTTTCCTTTAAAGTTTTTGACCCTTTTTTCACATGTTAATATTGTTCAAAACCCACTTTTAAGGATTTTAGTGATGTGGCTTTGTGATCTTTTATTACATTCTGGTTGTTGAGTTACTTGCCCTGTTTTCAGTTAATATAGTTAAAGTTGTTCTTTTGAGGAGCTTTCATTTAAGAATCAAATAATACATATATTTTCTATCTGTGGTTCAAACTGTCTATAATAAATTTCTATTTCAGTATTCAGAGTAGTTTCCAGAAAGGATTGTAACCTGATATGGAAACTAAAGAATTACAAAAAGTATTGATTTTCATATTTAAAAGATGATTAAATGCCGATATAAATAATGTTGTCACTGGTGAGGTGTTGAAAGGTAATTAAAGTAAAACTTTTTTGTTTCCTATATGTATTTTTCTTGGATCTCCTGCAAGACAATTTTCACCTTCCCTTTGTGATCAGAGTCGTCCCAGGACTTCAGGGGCTTCCTACCTACAGAGTTTATTAAGCGTTCCCCCTGATCCCACCTCCACAGAATCATTTCTTCTGAAGGGTTCCCCTTCCATGAGTGAACTCATCCAAGGGCATCGGCTCAGCAAGGAAAAAAGGTTAACCGTGGCTCCACCAGGTAAACACTTTTTCCTTGGGTGCATGTGATGCAAATGGCAGTGAATAGACAGCTCTCTTCTCCCTAGTCCATCTTGCAAGTTGAACTATATTGACACGGGACTTCCACCACTGAAGTGAAAGATCCTTTTAGTTACCTTCCTGTTTTCTCCTTCCACAGTCAGATACCAGGCATGTCTCAGGAATCTCCAGGAGTTTCTTTCCAGTGGCCTAGGAAGGAGAGGAGGGTTGGAAGGATGGGTTAGGCAAAGAGAAGTGAGCAGCAGGTACAACACAGGACATGTACACATCTGTCTACAGTTCTGTAGTTCATAGCTGTCCCATCTTAGTTTTTGTTTCCTCTTAACATTTTCAAAGTAAATTCAGCAGATGGAGTCATATTTATAACAAGCTTCTAGGGATAATTTCTTTTTTGTAGTGATTCAGAACGCCCAAATCCTTGATGGTTCTACTCCTTTGGAACATTCAGGTTTTCATATCATGTTCCTGAAGTGACACTTCTTTGATGCTTGTCAGTTTGCTGCAGTTTGCTTTAGCTTTATGGTTTTTGACCTTTTCTTAAATAAAAATGTGGTTTATGCCTCATCCAGTAAATCCAGACTGTCCCTTGTAAAGTCCCCACACAGATCAGAGGTGGAAAACAAGTCCATGAAACAAAATAAGCACAAGGACAATCATTACTTGTCTTTTGCAGAAAATATAATCCTCAACTGAGCTAACATAGTTGCTAGCAGCTACAAGATCAGGAATTTCACATGAACATCTGTATTTCTGGCCACTTTTGAAAGACATTTGGATATGTGGCAGCTCTAGGCCAGGTCTGTATTCATGTCTGTCAGCTGTGCTGTCAGACAAAGTAGGTTCTACATATTGTCATAGCCCCTACCACTTCCTAATGATTATACCCAGCTTTCTGTTCTCGTTCCTCCACCTAACCTCTGAGACTGCCAACTTGCCAAATTTCATCTAAATTTTTTAAACTTCAAATTTATCTTCATTCCTCTTTGAAACCCCAGCCTTTGTGTCTCTAATTATTTTCTTTTCTGATTTATGCTGCATACTGATTAGGATTAATTATGTGGTCTAGGAGACTGGAGAGATGGGTCAGTGGTTAAGAGCACTTGTTGGTCTTGCAGAGAACCTGGGTTCATTTCCCAGCATCCCACAGTAGTTAGTTGATAACCATCTGTAACTCCAGATCCAAGGGACCAGACACCCTCTTCTTCCATGAATACCAAGCAGGCACATGGTTCACATACATATATGCAGGCAAAATATACATAAAAATAAATAAATGTAATACAAAAAATCAAAAATGCAATCTTATATTGTACAGTAAATGTTTAATTTTTAAGAATATTTGAGGAACTAAGTAATGATCTAAAATGGCATAATAGCTAGAATTCATATACTCACGCATAAGTTGCACAGATACACACATGTACATACCTATACATATGCACGTCTATACACACATCCACATATACACACCTATACACAAACACAAATAAGTAATTATTCTTCTAAGTATTTCTCATAACCTACTTTCTGTTGTTTTATACACTTTTAGAAAGCACTTGAAGTATTCTTTGAGCTGCCAAAGTGGTGATGATTTATCAGGGTACCTAATGTGGGTACCTCATAAAAATCTTTCTAGCTTTTCAAATGGACTTACTAGTACTGCCTTAATAGAAAATAACTGATAAATAATAACTATTACATTTAAGTATTAGGTAACATACTAATAAAATTTAATGTTAATGAATATTAACAGCAACTATTTTCATTATTGTATGGCTATTTGCTCCTTATGCCCATTAATGTCATTAAATTTATATCATTATATTTATATCATTATAATTACATTGTAGACGCTATTAATATCATCTCATAAACTTTTATGTTGATACTTAGTTTTACTTTTAAGATCAATTATTTTGTCTTTCAGGATTTATTTTTATTATTTTAAAATTATGTATGTGTGCACCTGAGTGTAGATACCTTAGAGGTCAGAACAGGACATTTAGATCCCCTGCAGCTAGAGTTACTGATGGTTGTGAGCCTCCCAACATGAATGCTGGGAACTGAACTTAGGTATTCTGAAAGAGCAGTGTGCACTCTTACCACTGAGCCATTTCTCCATTTCTTTGTACTGTATTTTTATTTCATATGCTATTATCACATCCATCATTATTTTCACTTTTATCTATTATCTTGTATATGTGGGATGCTGCTTGGCATAGCTTCATGCTTTCAACTTCTCATCTTTTTGGTCTTTGTCTCGGAAGTAAGATGATGGGTTAAAAGTTGAATATTGTTATGATTTTTGCTCCATTTTGGTGTTGCTTTAGAAAAGTTTTATTATTCTATCTGCCCTATGAAACTGTTCACACATTCTAATTGTTAATACTTTACACACTCTGTAATACCTTCAGCTCTGATATACTTAGCATACATTGGTGAAAATACCATTACACGGTCTTAAATTCTTTAATTTTGAGAAACTGGAAAATATCATTAGATATTAATACTACACACAAGATCGAAGCTATAAATACCATGGAATTCAGAATCATCAATAGATCTAAAAGTTGTTTTCATGATAATTTAACATTTTATCACTCTGTGTTTCTAGCTATTTATTTGAAATTAAAATATGAGAGATGGGGAGGTAGAGGCATGTGGATCTCTGTGAGTTCAAGGGCAACCTGGTCTACAAAGTGATTTTCAGGACAGCTAGGGATGTTACACAGAGAAACACTGACTCAGGGGGGAAAATGAGGAGGAGGAGGAGGGAGAGGTTGGAGAAAAAAAGTAAACTGTTATAAACTGAGGAATAATTTCTGTTATATATTAGGAAACTAACCACTTTGTTTATTTATTAATAATTTCTTATTTATGTGTATGAATGTTTCACTTGCATATATGCCTGTGTACTCCATCATGCCTAGTGTAGGCCTTGAAGCTAGAAGAAGGGGTAAGATCTCCTCTTACTATAGTTACAGATGCTTGTGCACTGCCATGTGGATACAGGGGATCAAATCCTGGTCCTCTGGAAGAGCAGTTATCTACCTAGCCCCCAAATAGACCAGTTTCAGCCTTAATAAATTCTTATCAAATCAATATTTTCTAAAATATTCTGGCTAGGAGAATTACTGTAGAAATTAATCATACACACCAAGCATAGTTTCCAGAAATATATACTTTATTAACAGTATATCTTAATTTTATTAATGTAAATTATTGTTTGAGACATTTATTTAGTTTTTATTCGTGGTTTTAGTATTAATTATTGACTATTATAAAATTTCTGAGAGCAATATATATTTATCATTCTTAAGAAACAGTCCCCTAGTTTAAAAAAGCTTGCTAATCACTTTGTAAAATACATTTTAACATATTTTAAATGTTAAAATAAAATTTTAACATATTTTATTTTAATAAACAGATAAAGAAATTTATTTTTCTGTTTTTGGGGAGAATTCTGGCCTTACCTGTGACTCTGGTTCAGCTTTAACCAAATCTGCTCCTGAAATCTCATAGCTTCTCATAGTGGGTTTTTGGTTTGTTTGGTTTTTTTGCTTATTTGTTTTGATTTTATGTGTTTAGGTGTTTTGTTTGCATATATGTAAATCCACCATATGTATGCAGTACCTGAGGAGGTTAGAATAGGGTGTCAGCTGCTCAAGTACACAACAAGGACATTTGCTCAACCATGTTCATAGCAGCTTTTTTCATAATAGCAGAACCTGGAAAAAACCCAGATGTCCCTCAGCGGAGGAATGGATACGGAAATTGTGGTACATTTACACAATGGAATACTACTCAGCAATTAAAAACAAGGAAATCATGAAATTTGCAGGCAAATGGTGGGATCTAGAAAAGATCATCCTGAGTGAGGTATCCCAGACGCAGAAAGACACACATGGTATATATTCACTTATAAGTAGATACTAGACATATAATATAGGATAAACCTACACAAACCTATACACCTAAAGAAACCAAGCAAGAAGGAGAACCCTGGGTAAGATGATCAATCCTCACTCAGAAAGACAAACAGGATGGACATTGGAAGAAGAAGAAAACAGGAAACAGGACAAGAGCCTACCACAGAGGGCCTCTGAAAGACTCATAACCAAACTTTGGGCAGAACACAGGGAATCTTAGGAAAGAAGGGGGAGATAGTAAGACCCAGAGAGGACAGGAGCTCCACAAGGAGAGCAACAGTGCCAAAATATCTGGGCACAGTCTTTTCTGAGACTGATACTCCAACCAAGGACCATTCATGGATATTACCTAGAGCCCCTGTTCAGACGTAGCCCATGACAGCTCAGTATCCTAATGGTTTTTCTAGTAATGGGAACAGGGACTATCACTGACATGAACTCAGTGGTTAGCTCTTTGACCGTGTCCTCCTTAGGGGTAAGCAGCCTTGCCAGGCCACAGAGGAGGACAATGCAGCCAGTCCTGATGAGACCTAATAAGCTAGGGTCAGGTGGAAGGGGAGGAGGACTTCCCCTATCAGTGGACTTGGAGAGGGGCATGGGAGGAGATGAGGGAGGGAGGGAATGAGGGAGGGGGCTACAGATGGGATACAAAGTGAATAAACTGTAATTAATATAAAAATATAAAAATAATATAAAAAATTAAAAAAAGATTAGGGTGTCATATCCCCTGGTATAGGATTTACAGACTGTGGTGAGCTTGCCATATGGTTGCTGGGAATCGAATTCAGATCCTCTTTCAAGAGCAGCAACTGGTATTAACTGTGGAGTCCTTCTCTCCAGCACCTTAATTTCTTGTTCTTGACATTATGAATATACTCTCTGTGCTCCCCAAGGTCTGTTATCAGCTAAGCTGAGAAATGATTCTCAACTTTGATGAGATTGAATCAAAATGTATTCTGTTGTGACAAAGGAATTTATAATCAGACAGCAGACTGTACATCTTCATATGTTGCCGATTATTTCATATCAATGCCCTAACTACTAATTAGGC